TCTAACAGCCTATTCAGATTCTTCCCAATTAAAAAACATGAGTTCATCTGAAGGACTAGCTCTGAAGAGATGATGCAGCATGAAAAGAAAACAAATACCAGACCGACACAGGAAAGTCCTTGTTTATGTGGAGCCAGGAAATGTAGGTCTTGTGTTTGTGCAGTGGGACTGTTGGTAGCTTCTGGCTCTGCCTGCAGTTTTAAACTCGGCCTGGCAGCAACTCTTCAAAAGACCTTACTCACGCTTGGCCCTGCAATCGCCTTGGCAGCCCGTGCCAGCAGGCGCTGTGAGGCGGGTGGGGGATGGGCAGAGCGTGTTTGTGTCGATGTGTTGTGTACATTTATAACCCCAGTATGCGCCTGTCATTCTGGGAGTCTGTGCTTTTAGAAATGTCCCATTTAACCCAACACGCTGTGCAAAATAAAAGCTGCATCTCCGTCTTCAGCTTGGCGTGAAGCCGACAGCCGATCGCCACGCTAAAAACACCCCTGGCCCCAGTGGCCTGCTCTTCTTCTGTGCACCTTATCTGCACCAGAACATATTATTAGAGCGAGGATAAGGCTTAGCTCTGCCCACATAATGAATCCACAGCCCCGCACATTAGAGACTGTTGCAGTCTATTACCAGTGATTTCATCCATTTTTAATGGTTTCTAATTGAAGCCGACAATCCCCGCTTCTCTGTTCTCCCACCGCAGGAAGTAACATAACCCCGAACAGCTGCTTTAGTGCACAGAAACACAACCACACGTGTGCTGCTGTTGGAATTAATCAATTAATGTTGATTCAGTCTCATTGCTGTTTTTCTTTTCTTCTCCGTTTCATGCCTCAGGGTTGGATCGACAACTTCAACGGGCCAAGCGGCGTCTTTATAGCTGTAAGTAAGACATGTTACCCTTTAATCTCAAAGCTCTTGGTTGCAGTGGCAAGATTTGGAGTTTTAAGATGATGTCATCCTGTGATAAGGCGGGAAAGGGTATCCTGCGCACCATGAGGGCCAACAACGATGCGGTGGCAGATCTGATCCCTGTGGATGTGGTCATCAGCCTCACTCTGGCTGCTGGCTGGTACACTGCTGTACACAGGTGAGTAAACAAACCCCAAAACTCAGTCCCTAAACTTAAAATATCCTCCATTTGCCATAATGCATACGTTGAGGGCTTTCCATTAAAAACTTGTAGTTTCCAAGCGCACTTTAGGTATAGGGACAACGGCCAACTTGTGGGGATTTCTGCTGTAACCTGCAGATGTTTGGGCTCAATACAAAAGGCAAAGCAAGCAAATAAACTTAAAGTTATGATCATATGACAATAGCTGCTTGCCTGCTCAGGCAAGTTTGGCCAGTCAAAGCAGAAGCTAGAAAGCTTCAGAAACCCAATCTCTTGTCCCTTTTCTAGATATTCTGCATAGTTTTATGTCTGAATATGTCGTACGTCTGTATATAGAGTAAATCTCCCAGGTTACTCTGTTTTACTTGGCCTCGGTAAACTGTGACATGGACAGAAGACATCTGTTATGAGTGGGGGTAATACTCTATGAACACCAAATATAGTTCAGGCACAAGCACCTGGATAGATGCTTTAACAGTGACTCTAAAAATAGAGTTGCATACATTCTTTGTGCAGCTATTTCCACCAGCAGCCCAACACAAACCTGTTGTCGCGGTCTTCCTGTGTGTCTTGTTAGTGAGCGTCAGAGTAACGGTAATACTTCAGTACTTTTATAACAGCCTGAGGTGATAAAAGAAGCTGTAAGTGTAAATCTAAACCTGGCCCTGATGTGAAGAGAACAATTGCACTGAGAACTTGTCACAAAAAATCCAGAATGGTCTGGGAAAATCAGTTAAATGCCAGATTTTGAAAGATTTTTCTGTTGATTCTTACCAAATTTATTTTGGCACTAACAAGAAGACACTAGTAAACTCAAGTGTGTCATTTCCACGCCGTGCCAGATGTTTTTCCCAGGGAGTGTCTGACTCATTGCTTCGCTGCAGTCTTACCAAAACTCAGAGGGTCAGATTTTCCATACGGGAAACAGAGTGCAGAGAAAATATGCGGCATCCACACCCATTTCAGACTGCTAAGAGAGGCTGATGAAAACACTTAACCTCTCGAATTTTGTAATGTACATGCATTTGGAATGTTGTGCAATACCAGGCTTATGTACTTATTTTATGTGCACTGTAAGGGTTAAAAACACTGGTGAATAACAGTTTTAAATATAAGATCAGCCTTTTATATCAGCACAGTTTCACCACACAAACAGATAAGCTGGAATTATACACCAAATGCCTTCTACAGACATCATTATGACCTTCATCTTCCACACTTTGCAGACCTAAAACGGCCCTGGTGTACAACTGCACGACCGGCGGCATCAACCCTTTTCACTGGGGAGAGATCGGTAGGTACCCTCTTTGCTGTGCGGTAACACAAACCTGTCACTGCAGGCGGATATTTATAGAGCTGTTTTTGTCTGCCTGCCGGCATCCCGCAACACTGTCGTCTGTGTTCGCTTTCCTCGTCATAAATCAATACTCGGGTGTTGTGACATAATGTGTCTGTGATGTAGTTGTGATGTTTGTGGTGGAGGCTTCAAGAGGAGGGAGTCTGCCACCTGCTGGCAAGAAGCGGAAAATTAAGTTTGTGATGGATTTGGTGGCGAGTGAATGATGCAGGCTAATCTTAAAGCTTGTTTGCAATATGTTTGAAAAGTAAACACATTTAGTGTCTGAAGGCGGATTAAAGTGTTTTATTTCATACTTTCTAGTTGATTTTTGTTAACGATTATTTTAAAAGTCTATGTCTCAAAACGAATTAACAGAATTTAGGAAAAAGATTATCTAAATGACTGCATCTGCTTGGATTCCATGTGAAGAGTAAAAAAACTCACATCGTTGCCCTCTGGGTGTGGATATCCGGCCGGCAGGATGTCGAGTGACCCTCAGATTAACAAGCACGCTCTCTTCACCAAGGAAATCGTGACCAGATGGCTCGCGGCGGGATTAGGTCTGATCACTGCGACTCATCGCGTTATGAAAGAGGAAGTGTGGACTCTGCGCTCTCACTGGGCCAGAAGAGAGCTAGAAATGAAGCCAATTTAAAACAAGAGGATCAGAAGAGCCCCAGTAACACTGGACATCCCCTCAGAGAAAACTGATTTTTTTTTTTTTTTTTTTAGATAAATATGACATTAAGAAAAGAAGTACTCTAGTGCAGCTCAGTTTTTTTTTTTTAAATAATTATATCACAAGTGTCCCAGGTTTCTGAGAGCAGCTCAGTGTTTGCCACGGTGCTTCCAACCAGGCTGCAGGGAGCCAGGCCACAGCTGGCTGTCACCTCGGATCTGGTCATCTCGGTCCCTGGAACCACTACATTATTGTTGTCATGGAAACAAACCTTACAAGGCCTCATTTGCATGCCATGTGATGTAATGTCTGTGGTCACATGGCTGCTTCCTGCCGCTGGCCGCCGCTGGATGCTGAGAGGAGGAAGAGGAGGAGCCACCCACGCTGCCCAGTGGGGAAATCATTGAATGGTCACTTTCTGCCTGACATCCTCCAGAGGAAACAGGGTCATGCCATGATTAAGGCCAGCTGAGTTTCTGGAAGTCTTGATCCTTGTATTAAAACCCTGTCCTCAAAGGACCTTTTATTTTCTTTGTTTACCTCTGAAAAGCACGCTTCCATTTGAACCATAGAGCTCGAATATGGAGGACCAAGACTGCCAAAAATTAAAAACAAAGTGTAAAAGCAGTCAGAAAGTAAACTAATAATTCATGAAACAAATGTACAAATTAATTATTAAAATGGGATGGATGAATGAATAGAGTTAAGAACCCTTTTCCTGGCAATTCTTTAATGAGAAGGCTCATTAAAGTAAAGGATGCTGGAGAAGTGCATGCAACTGTAAACTGGAAATAAACCCTCTCCTACTTAAACCTCAGTCTGACCTGAAACTGAATTAAAATACACAGTCCAAAAGTTTCCTGCTGTCTTTTTTCTTTTGTTGTCTGAGTTTTACAGTTTACGATGCTGGTTACAGGCATTGATTAACACAATTTGCAAAATACCAAACAAAAGAGAAACACTGAACAATCGGGAGTGACCAGTTGCCAGATTATTGATTTTAAAATTTGAGAATTAAATTCGCTTATGTATATTAGTGTATTGGACCCACTTATCCCAGCACGACAAAAACCAACTTACTGTTATTCACATATGCTGTTAACTCCTCCATCCTATAAATCTCTAGTGTTATTTCCCACCACAATGATAAAGTTGGTACATCTTGTAATAGCCATTTCTTTGTTATACATTTTTTACTTGCAACTAGCAAGGCACTGAGTAAACATTTTATCTTTTTTTTTTTTTTAAACCATTCCTGTGGCGTACATCCAAAAAAAATAGTTTTCCTTCCAAAAGGGAATGTACAGTTGAAAATTTCTTGTAGTGTTTCATGAGTGTCTTTCCAGTAAGTCCTGATCAAAGGGCAGTCCCACATTATGTGAGCGTGGTGTGCTCGTTGGTGTCCACATTTTCTCCAACATACAGGGGGATTCCCGTCATAATGAGTCTTTTGGCAAGGGGTGATAAGAACCTTATCATAGTTTTCCATCCAAATTCCCTCCATCTTCGTGAGGAAGTGGATTCCACGTTCCCATATTTGAGTCCTCCTTCTCCCATAATATCTTCACATATTCAGTTGAGTGAGAAAGCTTATTTGTAAGAAATGTATACAAAAAGGAAAAGTGTTTTTTATTGACGTTGCCACTATATGCCTTTTTAAGCATAGCTATCAAATCTACATTAGTGTTCGACGCCACTCTGATTGTTGTCTTTATATAATGTCTTATTTGCAAGTATCAATAAAAATCCTGCTTTTCCAGATTGTATTTTTGTTTCAATGTATCAAAACTTATTAAGTTCCCATCTTTAATCAGACTATCGAATGTAGGTAATCCTTTAGCAGACCAACTTTTAAAACGTGAGTCCAATTTTTTTGGGACAAAATCAGAGTCGTACGCATACATTTAAATAAAGCCAAGTCCTGTTCCAATTTAAATTCCCTCACAACATTTCTCCATACATTAAGTTTACATTTCACCCAAGGGTTGTAGACCTTGTCTATATATTTTTGAATGTTTAAGTCCATCAGGACAGCTTGTATTGGAAAAGAAAACATGCTCTCCTCAATATTTTTCCAATGTGCTTTATAGCTTATATCACACCAGTTAATCAGTCTTCAACTGAGCAGCCCGAAAATAGTTTTGTTTTTGTTTTTTTGTTTTTTTTTAGTGACTGCAGCCCCCATCCTCCTGTCTTTTTTTGTAATTGTAAAGTTTTAAAACAAACCCTTGGTCTCTTCCTTCCCCATATAATTTTGTCCCGTTCGTTAAATTGGCTTTGATCAATTTGTACCGGTAGTGTTTGGAATAAATATAGTAATCTCTGCAGAATATTCATTTTGATTCAATTCGTGAGTATAAAGTTAGAAAGGGAATCATGTCCCATCGTTTGATATCATCTACTATTCTCTTTTGCAGGGAACCAAAATTCTCCTCAAATAATTTAGTTAAGTCTTTAGGTATGACAACTCTATTGAGCAACCAAGTGAGCTGGGGGGCTATAGTTATAGTTAAGTATTTGAGTTTTGGTCATATTAATTTTATACCCAGAAAGTTTCCCAAATTTTTGGCATAGATTCATTAGTTCAGGTAGGGAGCTTGTAGGCTGTTCTAGGTATATTAATATGTCATCTGCATAGCAAGCAAGCTTATGTTCCTGTTCTTTAATGTTTATTCCCTTGATGTCTTTGTTTTGTCTGATTGATTGTGCCAGAGGTTCTAAGTATAATGCGAATAAAAGTTCTTGCAGTAGGGTTAGTATATAATGCCTTCACCGTATCAATAATTCTATTATGTAAGCCAAATTTGGTCAAGACTTTGTAAAGAAAGTCCCAATTTACAGAGTCAGAAGCTTTTTCCGCATCGATATTCATAAGCATGGCTTTACTTTTAGATGTTTGTATCTGATTTATTACGTGAAGAGTTCTGCGTATATCGTCCTGTGTCTGCTTTTTTTCTGAAAAGAGGCGAATGCTATGATCTCCCCTCTTAGCTTTTAATGCATCCCATAGTATTGGAGGTGACACTTCTCCGTTATCATTTATTTCAAGGTAATCTTTGAGTTCTTTCATTACTTCTTAAATGTTACATCTTTAAGCAAAGATGAGTTCAATTTTCAAGTTGATGTTTTGGGGTATACGTTTAAATCAATTGTCAGATACAGTGGTTCATGGTCACTTATGTCTATTGTACCCATCTCGCATGATTGGATTTTATCCCTATCGTTTCCAAACGTCATGTAAAGGGAATGTGGAGCTGAGTAATGAGAATAATCTCTCCATGTAGGGAAACGATTTCTCCATACGTCTTACGTCCTACCTCTTCAAAAAGCGCAGAGACTCTTTTATACAAAGTACTTGATTCCGGCATTCTTCTATTAGAGCTATCTAAATCCGGCCGCAGGCGAATATTCAGATCGCCGCCACAAATCAAGGGGCCTTGGGTTTCTGTCACCATTATATTAATTTTTTTTTTTTTTTTTTTAAAGAAACTCGGGTCACTTCCTGGTGGTGCATAAACGTTCATTAATGTAACCAGTTTCCTGCTGTTTTTGTTTCCTGCTCAGAGGTGAATACGGCACTGAGACTAATCCTCCTCAATTATCTTGATTTGCAGAGCACCACGTGATGTCCTCCTTTAAGAGAAACCCCTTGGAGCAGGCTTTCCGAAGACCCAACGCCAACATCACCTCAAACTACCTGATAAACCAGTACTGGATCCTGGTCAGCCACAAGTTCCCCGCTTTCATCTACGACCTCTTCCTGCGCCTCTCCGGGCAGAAGCCGCAGTAAGACCAGCGTCCTTCTAATCCCACTTTTAGCCTAAAGAGAAATTAATTTGTGCCTGTTGTAATCTGCACCTCCTCCGTCTTTGTAGGATGATGCGCATCTTCAATCGCCTGCACAAGGCCATCAGCCTGCTGGAGTATTTCAGCAGCCAGGACTGGGAGTGGAACTCTGAGAACATGAACATGCTGATGGGCCAGCTAACCCCTGAGGACAGGAAGGTAGGGTTAACCATGTACGTGGTGCAAATTTTGGACCAATAATACACCTTTTAGGGTCACATAAAGATGCAGGTGTTGAATAATAATAATATTCAGAACTTACCTCACCATCTAGTTATTTTATTGGTTTAAACTTTTTGGTCTTCATAATTTTATTTTACTTTATTACTTTTGCGGTGGATAGGGAAGTTGTCTTAATGGGTTTTTAACTTGCATGCTTGTTTTTAATTATGCTTGGATTAATATTAATGTTTTACTTTATTAGTTTTATAGCAGCACCACCTTGAAAGAAGCATACTGTATAAATAAAGTTTAGTTTGTGAAACACCGCTATGGAAGCCTTTTTATGCCACTGAGGGGGAAAAAACAGTCGGGGCTTAATCGAAATTTCAAGTTATTATCTCACAAATTGAACTTCTCATTACCTAAACATTTTGAGATAATAACCCAAAACTTTGACTTTATGGATTGATTTAAAAAAACAAAACAACCTAGTTGCAGAAAGAAGCTTCCATAAAAATGCTCCTTTTTGCAGCTGCACATGGAGCCTAAATTTTATAGATAACACTGACTCCAAAAATGAATCCATGACCTTCTCAGTACATAATGGTATTTCTACTTGTAAATAAGTAAATGAGCTGAGCACATCATGCACAACTGCAACAGAGCTCAAGACAGAAAACACTTGTGAACATGCACTTTTAGTCACAAAAATAGCAGCTTTTTTATTTTCAGTTTCGATTTTTAGCATTTTCAACTTCTGCCATCTTATTTGCAGACATTTAACTTTGATGTGCGCCAGCTGAACTGGCCTGAGTACATTGAGAACTACTGCATCGGCACCAAGAAGTATGTCCTGAACGAAGACATGTCTGACATTCCTGCTGCCAGGCAGCACCTGAGAAAGTAAGTCAACAAGCCTTCAAAAGTACAGGATTCAAGTATGTGTTTCCCCACCAGTTATCATTCTATTTTTGGAAGAATTTCACTGTGATAATTAATTAGGAAAACATATGCACAAGCTTCCTTGTTTATCATCTCATTTACATCTTTAAGCTTTTTAAGAACTTGTATGTTAAGTCTTTAATCTGCTTCCCTCTTGTCTTCTTCCAGACTGAGAAACATTCGCTACACCTTCAACACCCTGCTGATCGTTTTCATCTGGAGGGTGTTTATCGCCCGCTCCCAGATGGCCAGAAACATCTGGTACTTTGTGGTCAGCCTCTGTTTCAAGTTCCTCTCCTACTTCCGTGCATCCAGCACCTTAACCATTTGAGTCTTCCTCACCGCCTCAAGCCAGAGTCAGCAGCCCTCGCCTTTAGCTGTCAGCAGGAGGAAAACATCCACTGTGGACACTCTAAATCCTTCTTAATGTGGACAAGCGGGGCTCTGCACACGTGGGGGTGGCAGTTATGTGAAGAAGAGGGGAAAAATGAGGTCTACTAGCCATGAATTAAGCATTCAGTTTGGATATCTGTCATCGGTTTGTGCACTCTTCAATCTCCAACCCCGTCCAAAAAGAAAAGTGTTGTCATTCATTTTGTACCTACTGTTTTCGTCTCAAAGTGGCCAATTATATATGCAACAATAAGCCTTTCGTGTGATTTCCATTTTCTTTTCCACCCTCCTAAATCTCAATACATCGCCTTGCCTTGTAAGTACTTTTTTTCATACTTGAATAATACTGGCACTGCATCGTTGGAGGAAAATTTCTATGAGATCATTGTAGTTCATGTTTTTGTTTTTTTTGTTTTTTTCGGTTTTGTTTTTTTACTGTGGGGATCTCCAGTTCTTGTCTTCAATACACGGGTGATTCCGATATCTGTATGTCTTTGCAATGAGTGCATCTACTGCCTTTTTAACATCCCCAAAAAAAACCTCACTGGTGGTTTTCCATCTTAATACCGATCTGAAGTATATTAAGAATAGTATTAAAGCTAAACTCAAACTACATGAGTCACCTATGGCTACAAATACAGATGCCACCTTTCCTGTTGTTACAGTTGTCACTTATTTACGACCACAGATGTTGATGTCCGTGCGTCTTGTTTGAATGCTCATCCACTTTTTTGCCTGTTTGTACAGCAGTTTGTACTGAAACTAAGTTTACTACTTTTACATCTTTATACCTGCGCCAAAGGCTAGTCCGACTATATGTGGTAGACCTTGGCTGTGTAGAATTTATAAATAAGAGTAAATCAGAGTGAACTTTATTTGTATAGCCCAGTATATACTGCACATTGTTTCCCAACAGTTTCTAAGCAAACTTTGTAAGAAGACAACTCCCCAAAAGGTTAGCACGTTAGGGAAAGATATTTCACAGGCAAAGCAGGAGCGAGTGATTCAGCTAAAATGGTTCAATGCCTCATAGTATAGAAGATGAGAGTTGAAGACCATTGCAACTACCTGCAGCAAAGGAGTCTGAATTCATGCCCTTGTTGCAAGTGCACAACACAGTGGAGGTTAAAAAGGAAAAAAAGTGGGTCTATTACTGAGCCCTGAGGGATGTCTCACCTTATAAAGTGAAGTTGGAGAGGGCAGTTTGGTGTAGTAGCAAGTCAGAGTGGTAAACATGAGTTATATTTGAGCAGTGGTACCCATTCAACTTATCCAGAGATGTTTTCAATGCTCCTGAGATGTTAATTATGATTTAGTGATCAGAGCAAAGTGTCATCTGCATATGAGTGAAAAGTCATGCCCCAATTTCAAGTAATTCTTCCTAAAACCCTAAATACAAAGCCATAAGAGATGCCTCACCTCACAGAATGGAGAAATGGACTGCTACGACAAACTGATCCATTTAATAATGCATATTTAAAATGATCCAATGGAAGATGAAAGAAAATAAGTGGGCCTTGTACTGAGCCCTGAGGAATGCCACGCCTTACAGCGTGGGGTTGGAGAGGGCAGTTTAATTGCATAGAAAGTCAGGTCACCTGAAATCCTGAGGAGACCTCACCAGCCTTGTCACAGTGGTAAACATGAGTGAAATTTGAGTTGGCAGTACCCATTAGGTACCACTAAAAATATAAACTGTCTGGATGAAATTATTGCCTGCTGCACAACAGAGTGCACTTTTATTTACCAAACCAAACGATTTTTGGGGAAATGGGTCAAATTGTTCAGAAGACAATGTCCGATTTTGAGGTTCCTATAAATACAGTTGTTATATCTCGAGCCCTGGTTTTTCAAACACTGCTGGAAAATTGTTTAAAAAAAGATTTTTACCACTGTGATTTTAACATTATGTTAGTGCATAAGAGACACACACTACAACTTCAGTAGATCCAAAGAAAATGGAAAGAAGTAGTTGCTGGGATGTCCAACAGCTTGCAGTTTAAAAAAAAAAAAAAAAAAAAAAAGGCCCTGTGCAGATTAAGGCTCTTTTCTCTTCTGATTTCTGGACGCAGACTAAGATATCTAAAGACTCGTGAGGTACTTTTAAATCACATACAGTGTGAATATGAGGCTTCTGCAGAATAATTAATTTAAAAGTACTGGTTATATTACAATCTAAGCTGGCATTGTATCCCCTATGCCAGAGTACTTCAGCTTCATCGTCTTAAAGGGGCAGGGCACTGAGCTAGTTATCTAGTTTTTACTCAATTTAGTAAAAACTAGATAACTGGACCAAGACAGAGCCATGAGATATGAGTCCAGATTTATATTTTAAAAAGTCCCAAGTAAAGGGCTGGGAACACGTTAAAACTCTACTGGCATTACATCCTTTCTGCAAATTTGGAATATCTGTAAATAGATGCTTGCATATTATTCTTATAGATTACCAAAAACTTTTATTTGACTGTTGATTTATTTTGGTTGAGTGTCTTCAGAGCTTCCCACAGAGTGTACCAAAAGTGTGACCGGCTGGTATGATTTTTACTGAAAGAATGAGACAGCTGTGTACAGTATTGTATATGTTGCAAGGCATTACTCTTGACAGAATTAAAAATACTTAACAGTGATGAGTCTTTATGGGAGAAAAAGGGACAAAACTAAATGTTTATGCAAAGCCCATGTCTGGTGAAATCATGATAACCGTCCTCTTAATTTCAGACCCGAAACGTCGTACAAGGCCTGCACGATGAAGCAGTTGCATCAGATTGTTCTCAAAGAGCTACAGGGCTATATTAATGATGTTGTCAGTATGGAGTTTTGCTCTTCTGTGTGTCTGTCTTGTCTTCTTTCTTTCTTTTTTTCTTTTTTTTTTTTCCAAACGCAGAGCACTGTTGGTACCGTAAACCCCAGACTGGAGCTACTGTTACTGTATGTAACAAACGGCATCACTTAACCAATGACTTCATGTTTCTTCTGGTGTCATTTGCAAAACGTCCGACTGCCTGTATTCCCTGCTCTGACAACACTTTCAAGTCTGCTTGGCAAAACTGAAATAAACTCGAAGAGTAAAGGTGCACATGTGCTGCAGTCTTTCGTGCTCGCCTTCCAGCTCACTCGTTCGTGGTTACAGAGGAGAAAATGAAAATCGAAAGATATATTTTTCCTGGAACCACTTCAGTTCTGACCAAGCCAGCTGGCTGATGATCAGTTAATCAAGCAGGTTTGATTAGCAGCTCCTGGAAGCAGTAAGGGTCTATTTAGTGACACACTGGCTCAATTTTTGTTAAATAAAGACTCATGTCATGTGGTAGACCTGCTAAAGACATTCTTGACTTATTGAAATAAGTCAAATAAAATAAATAAGTCTTCCTTATAGAGGATTGCTTAATAGGCAACATGACACTTGCTCAGTCATCCTTCTCGAACCTGACTGCCATCATTTCATGGTTTACCTGTTTAAAAACCATCTGCATGTTATTTCATTTAGGAATCAACTTTTATTTGTTTTGGGCTTCTTTTTTTCTTTTTTTTTACACTTTAATGCTGTGAAACAAACCAGCGGTGCTAATGACCTCCTGGGAATTTAAACTTTAACATAATTGTCAGCATCACCGTTATCAAATGTGACCAGAGTCACAGGGTACACATTCTCCTACAGTGCAATAGTTAGTGCTAACTCTACTATTTTTTTTTTTTTTTGGTCATTTGGAAGAAAAACATTTTGTGATATACAGTACGGTAATGCTGGCAATGAAAAACCTTTATAAACTCTAATAAATAAACAAATATCTGAAAATCCAAACTCAAGTTTCCGATGAGAAAGCAGCAACTGTGATCATTATTTGTCGGGTCACCCGTGCAGGCCGAGGAATCGGCGGCTACTACCGAGGGGGATTGTCAGCCAGCAGAGGAGTATGGTGGTGGTTCAGATTATTCATCTGGTGCAGCTGTGCGTCCTGGTTTAGCACCTCTCCAGGCCTGTAGAGTCCCAGTTTGAAGCGGCAGCAGATGACATCAAAACAGAAGCCAACGAGCCCGTGAAGCATCCCTTAAAAGTGAGAAGAGCACAGTAAAAAAAAAAAAAGAATAAAATAACTGCATGAATTCAAAGCTAGAACCATGTTTAATTGTTTTGCTCTAAATGTCCAAGCCCACTCGCCTGTGGTGGAGAATATGCCCCCGATTATACCACACAGTCGCACCAGGAATTGCCAGAGCGGCATATGCTGCTCGCTGACCGTCACCATCAGAGAGCTGGTGTCGTACTTGACGAAGATGCCGGAAACACCGTGACTGCCCGCGGCGTGGTTTATCAGCCGTTCCTTGGCAGCAGACATTGTGGTGGTTAGTCTACTTGCTGTCACAACATTGGGCTGTGTTTAAAGCTCTGCGCTTAGCGGCTACTCACTCGCTCAGTCACAGAGAACTGGTGTGTGTCTGCGGATATCTTGTATGTGTTCAGTTTCGTGGGCACCACTGTAATGAAGTACTGAAACATCTGGTTATCTGGGATGCAAGCACACAGGAAAGAATAATTGAGGGTTTTATGAAAAAAAATAAAAAATGCACTCATTCATTCAATGGAAAATCCTTTTCAAATGTTTCCTGCATGTTTTATCCTCTGAAATCATGTGACTTACTGTTATATGTGATTTTCTCTGTGCCGTCCAGAGGATTGATGACGCCTGGTAACTCCTCCCCAAAAGATAAATGGTCGATTCGATGGGAGAAATTGTACGCTGTAATGCAAAGATGAGAGAACCCTCAGATTCAATCAAGGCTGTGGACAATCATTCTAACTAGTAGCAGGACCTTATAAGCTCGATTTCCTAAGGCTCTCATCTGGCCAACTTTGGTCTCTTTTAGTAACAGAAAAACACTTTTTATCTCCAATGCCATTAAATCTGGCTCACATATTTGACATCTGTAATGTTTTCAGGGGTTTTTGTTAAATTATTCCCTATTAAATGTGTAAGAACAATGCTTAATACACTCACAGCCACATGGGAGCATGTAGTCACGCTCGAGATGACCTGCTGATGTTCAAATCAGAATATGGAAGAAATGTGATTTAAGTTGATCTGAGTATTCCAGAACCTGCCGATCGACTCGGGTTTTCCCACACAACCATCTCAAGAATGTTCCCAAAACTAGAAAATACGTAGTTTGAGCCAGTTCTCAGAAGGAAATGACCAGAGCACAAATAACCCCACATTACAACCAAAAACTGCAGAAGAGGATCTCTGAATGTGCAACATGTTAAATCATAAAGCAGATGGGCTACAGCAGCAAAAGACCACATCAGGTGCCACTTCCTGTCAACTGGAAACTAAGGCTACGACTCACACAGGCTCACCAGACCTGGAATTTCAATTTCTGCTGCAATATTCAGCTCACAGTTTGGCACAAACAACATGAAAGCATGGATCCATACTGCCTTTTATCAAATCAGGCTGCTGTTGGTAATGTAATGGGATATTTTCTTGGCACGCTTTGAGTCCCTTAGTACCGTCTAAACATTGTTTAAATGCCACGGCCTTCCTCGGTATTTATTGCTGAATGCAGAAAAAGGGAGAGCTGAGGGGAGCACCGATTATGGTGACAGATAATGTTCCCTGGTCTGCTTGTAGATTATAAAAGTGTGTAATTAGAAGTGTTATTAGAAAACCAGATTTTAACTTACTCTCGTGGCTCACAAAAGCTGCAATGTGTGCATGGCCCTGAGGATGGTGAATGGGCCTTAAAAAGATCAAGAATCACTATTAGTCTCCAGCATCAGAAATGTTTGTCTCATGCTTATTACGCTACAGAGGTTCTTACTTTCCAACAGTGATGTGCAGGTTTCCTGCTACCTTGTTGACGTAGACGTGTCCATGTATCCTGCAGGCATTGAGGGGCTCCATGGAGGCATCCTCCCTACGCACATAATGTTTGAGCACATCATTTTATTATAACAGACTCTAAATCCATCACTCTAAATCCAGTGGGCACTTATGTGTTTGCCTTTTTGTAAAATGAATGGAGACGTGATTATTAAAAACTATTTCCCATAGGAGACTGACCGTGGTGGCAGAGCAGTGGGAGCTCCTTTCAGGAGAGTTTTGTAAAGGACTTCCTGCAGAGCGTGCTCCTCTCTCAGCCTGTTCTGTATGAGAAGCAGCGTCCTGGAAAACAAACAGACTGCAGAACTAGCTAAACAAGTTTAAAAGCTTTCAAACAACAAGAAATCTCTTATAACTTGATAACCAAATTTTAGGCATTACCAGAATTTTGTATTTTTTTCAAACTTACTGCGCAACTGCACAAAACCTTACCTTTGCCACAGTCTTTGTTGCGGGGTCAGCTCAAAAATAACCTGCTCAAAGACACAAACAGGAGCGTTTGCTTTACAGAAGCGACACCTCAGAAATGACCTTAAGGTTTTTCAGACACATGCTTGACTCACAGGTTCATACTGCAGGCCATTAGATGTGATCATGGTTTCAGCCAGGTCCAGAATATCTGCTCCCACATCTACAATCAGAGATGAAATATGTGCGCTAATGTGATGTAAGCGCTTCAGGTAGCAACTTCTCCACATTGACAACGGCAAACAAGGTGAGATACTCACGCTGGCATTTCATGGCGACTGTTATGTCAATGTTTATTCTCAATTTACTGAAATCAGGATAAAAAGATTACCGTGACATCATACTGTAAAAAAGAAAAACAGACTGAAGTCACAATTAATTAACATTTAATAACCTAGTAATAACATCTCACCTGGAAAAATCCTTGTCGACCGAATATTCATACTTCATCCAAGTCTCTCGATAAACAAAGAACTCTAAGACAGCCAGAAGTGCCATGGCACTAAACGCTAAAAGTGACACTGTGGAGGAGACAGATGAGCAGAGAGTGTTACTCCTCCCTTTTGCTGCTCCTGCTGTCTTGTCCTCGCAGGGACATCTCACCTGTTCCTCCTGACGCCGATGTCTCCACGTAGCTCTCTGACACTTTGGGGAAGGCGTCCAGCTCCTTCACCAGGCTCAGCGCTTTCTTTCTTGACAGACGCCTCATCTTCAGGTTCACAGCAGTTCTCCACCTCCTCCACCACAATTAAAACAAGCCTCAGATTAACACAGTACACCTGTTTAATGCAAACGTGTTAAATCAATATAATCGAAATGTATCGAACAAGTGGACTGAATGCAAAAAGGCTGAAGGAACAGATCAGGTAAAAAAAAATGATTACAGTTATAATAAAAATAATGAAATATTAATGAACCTTTTGGAAAGAAACTCTTGGACCAAATGCTAAACACTGGATAAACTAATAACGTCAAATTTATTTGAAACTTAAGTTACTTGTGAGTAAGTCAAAATGTCAAGACAACAAGCATAAGTTTTGAAGCAATAACCTGAAGTTTTCTGGACACCTAAAAAGAATTGTGGCAGAAACAAAGTTCCATAGAATTGTTATTAAAAACAATTGTTGTAAAAAAAACATGGTGATTATCAAAATTATCTCACTACAAAATCAAATATTTATTTAAACAGAACCAGAAGTATTTTTAAGTAATAATCGCTAATAATAATAATATATTATTATTATTATTATAAAAAATCAATAAATAATAATACATTTCTTTTATTATTTTTATTTATTCTTATTATTAATGTGTTTATTTGTTTTTTGCATAATTTGTTTAAACCAGGCTCACTTTTTCTACAACAGCAATGATAATAATAACAATAAAACGTCATTTATACCATTACATTAATGATTACTTTAGTTATTTGTCCATAATAATCCTTTTGAGCGAATTCTGTTTAATGAAATACTGTGAATATATCACTGATGCCGACGTTAATGGCTGCTAATGTGAAAATATCTCACTCACATCACATATATTATTATATCTTTTGTCGCATTACATCATCGAAGAGAAACGGCAGAGTAGTAAAAATTTGAATTGACGCTGTTTGTATGCAGAAATGTCCCGGAAAAGTATCGATAATAGATGTTTTATTAGGCGAAAGCATCACATTTAACGATCATTTGAAACCAGACGTCCATCACTAGCGTAACAACACCGTGCCGATTTTTTTTTTTTTAGATCTTACCTTTTTTGGTCATCTAGTTAGACGTTAAATCTTGACGTGGCAGCAGCTGCCTACTGTTTAAATCATACCTGGCAGATTTTTCTACACCTTCATCCATGATGCTAACACACAGGGGGGCGGGGCGCGCTTGCTTCTGCCTCGTTTCGTCTCGTCGTGACGTTTGCAGCGTGCGCGCGCTGCCCATTTACGCCCACGCACAGTAAGCGCACTTGCGCTCTTCAATCAGGAGGTGGAGCTGTAACACCATAATACAGCATACAGTAAAATCACATAAATGAAATACTCCAGGCTTTAATAAATATTCAATATGTGTACGTGTGTATTATTTTTTTTTACTGTTATATTAAATTATTTTAATAAATAAAAACACTAAGCCTAAAGCTAAGTAAAACTAGATTGATAGAACTACAGTGAAAATTGTTGGGTGTGTAAAAAACAAGAAAAAAAATGACAGAAATGTGTATATTTACATACATATGCACATTGAACACATCACTAGCTAATTAAATTAAATTAATCAGGATAACTATCCAGCATACTGAAGCTTTTGGTACATAGACTATGCTTATTTGAGGATTTTTGCATGTCTATATACGCACATGTTGGAATGTTTTCCCATTTTTGTCTCATATAAGATTCTTTTTTTTGCATTGCATTCTTCGTTTCATGATGTTTTCAGCTGGTGACATGTCTGGACTCCTGGCAGGGCCGTTTATTACTCGGACTCTTCTACTACGAAGTCTCGCTATTGTAATAGAGGCAGTATGCGGCTTAGCATTGTTTTTCTAAAAAAATGCAAGATCTTCCATTAAAAATATGTCACATTTTAGCTTCTTCTTGACATGATAAAACTTTAACTGGCATATGTGGCATAATGAGCTGATGTTCACAGATGATGAGTTTAGAAAGTGTTCCCGGGAACATGCAGGGATTTTCATGACAAAAACACACCCTTTTTTAAAGCATTGCTTCCTGAGGAACCAAAGGTCATGGGCACCCAGTATTGCTTTTCAATGGTGTCCCTTTCACAGAGATTTGTCTAGATTTGTTTTTCAGACTTTTTCAAATCTTTATTGCATTTATTATCTTCATGTCTGTTCATCTGACTTCATGTAGTATTTATTCGCTTGTCCTGATAATCCTGTTCTTTAATATGCATGTTATAAAATCTATAATAATGGTAACCTATACCTCCATTACCATGTTTCCTTATAATGCCTTCAAACTGTCACGTTCTTTTCCTATTTACACATTTAATGGATGTTTATGTGGTGCTCATAGTGATTGCAATGAAACTCAAAGTCAACATTTTCGTCTGTTTCAAAAAGCTGAGTACACTGATTACACCTTATTCTGCAGAAGAGCTGTTCATGTCCATCCATCAGCACCAGCCTACACTCACAAGTGTTTATTAACTTCCAGGAATAGTGTTTACGTGTATGCGGTGGATCTGCACACCAGACATGAAGCTGCTCACACCGGGGCTGACGAGAGAGAAAACCTATAATAGGAAGCACTGATAGTGATCTACTACAAACAAGGCTGTGATTATCATCCTGAAGACAAAGGGGATGTTTACACCTTGGTGCATGCTTAAAAATGCACAAAGAAGAAAAAAAAATGGGCAGAGATTAGCAGATAACCTCACATGTGTCTTCTGTGCTGTGAGCACTCTGGAGCCTCTGCATGCACCAAGGCTGCTTGACTATGCAGAGTAGCACAGATGGGCGTGTGGGGGGATGGGTGCTGTCAGCTCACAGATCAAGCTGTGGGTCGGTGGTCCCATTGCTATTCACCACAAAGCACGTAGGGCATGTCAGACACGCTCCATGGAGACATACCAGGGCTGGATGTTGTGTTTTGATTTTTTATTTAAGATGCCTCTGAGCCGTCTGCCACCAGGCTGGAAAACGCCTTCTGAAGAGATCTTCACAGTGAAGACAGTGCAGGAAAGATAAAGACCGTGTGACACACTTACATTTTCTTGCCTTTGCAGCTCATCAGCTGTGTTGTGGATTTACAGTTAAGTCAGTGTTGATAGCGCATATGCATTGATATAGGTATTTAATGCTATTTGCAATCAGAAAACACTTTTTATCCATGTATTGTGGACATTTTAATTGCATTATTTAAAGATGCAACACCCAGTATTACACAAAATAACTCCCCGTACATTTAAATGCCTTATAAGTGGCTGTGCATCAATTAAGATATAAGCATGCTCTGTGAAGCTTTAAGGGTCAGACCATCAAGTGAAGATAACTTCTTTTACATGGTTCTGAATAGAAGAGAATAGCATTAATGTACAATAAGCTCCATGCCAACTGTGCAGGAAGTTATATGCTTTGTTTCATATATTGTATTCTGTAAGAGGGCTGTTGTGATTTATACAACTGAAGATTGTCTTAAAGCTATCCAAACCTACCTGTCCCAAAAAGTAATTGACTGAGCCACACCCAGGCCTAATTACTGCCAGGCCTGTTGAATCAAGAAATCATGTAAATAAAACCTATCTGATGAAGGGAAGTAGGCTAAAAGATGTCAAAACGCAACACACCATTGCTGCGATCTAAATAAATTCAATAACAACTGGGAAACATAGTCATGGAAAGGGATACAAAGCCATTTCTAAGGCTTTGGGACCCTAGCGAAACACAGTGAGAGCCATTATGCACAAATGGAGAAAACTTGGAACAGTGGTGAAGCTTCCCCTGGAGTCACTAGGATGCCAAAATGACTCAAAGAGTGTATCAATGGCTCATCCAGGAGGTCCGAATAGAACCCAGAACACCATTAAAAGAAATGCAGACCTCACTTGATTCAGTTATGGACAGAGTTCATGATTCAACAATAAGAAAGAGACTGGGCAAAAATGGCATCCATGGGAGAGTTCCAAGGAGAAAACTACTGCTGAACAAAAAGAACACAAAGGCTCGTCTCACATCTGCCAAAAAAAACAACAACAACATCTTGACAATCCCTGAGACTTTTGGGAAAATGTTCTGTGGCACAGCTACTTATTAGGTTTAGGCGGAGATTACTTTTTCACACAGCGCCAGGTAGATGTTTCCCTTAAAATGATCATATAAAAAACTTTATCTAAAATTAGAGTTTGTTTGATCTGAAATATTTAATATTTAAATAAAATCGGGAAGGTGAAGCTCAATAAACACAATGAATATATCCATATTAAAATGTAATACGACTAAAGAAACATCTTAATATGGTAAAATAATACATATAGCAGATTATGGAGATTATTTCATCAGAATAATTTAAATTACAGGCTGATTTTTCGCTTTTATCCGATTGTAGCATAACGCCTAAAACCAAGCCCTTTATGTCATTCCTTTGTTGGAAAAAAGTTTGCGTCTATTGTTGGTGTGCCCACACAACCAGATGGAAATGCATAATCTGGAAACTGACGTCAGAGGTGGGATTGCCTCAGAATGGCGGATTTCGTGCGTGCTCGGCTCTCCCCTCGGGTATTTCCGGATGTTGGGTTAAATCCCCGCCCGCTTCATTCCTGCGTTGTTTGGGGACAGTAGGAAGATGGCGGCGGCCCCGCTGTACTGTGTCTGCCGGCAGCCCTACGATGTGAGCCGGTTTATGATCGAGTGCGACATCTGTAAAGACTGGTTTCACGGCAGGTATGTAGTCTGCGACATCCTAAAGAGGTGTAGTTACATGGAGGCGAGAAACACGGTTTGTTTTTTAAGAAAAGGCGACGGTTCTCTGAGCGGTCTTGGCTAACTTAGCGTGCTAACCGTTAGCGGTGGGCGACGGGGGTTTTAAACCGTCTATTGACACGACTTTACGGGCGAAAGTGGGGGTTCGCGCCCCTAAAAACAACATTAATGAACTCCATCGTGCCGCAGATAAGTTTAAACAAAACGACATGATCCAGCTCTTTGTAGTTATTATAATAATTAGCGGCATTTACTTAAATAGAGCCCAATAGAAAGTAGATCTTATAGCTGATGGTATACCGAGCTGTTTCAGTCAACACGGGTGATCAAAAGCGTACGTGACTACCTTTCCGTAGAGTTGTTTAAAGGATAACTTTAATTTTGATGTCGCTGTGATTCAGTCGATTTAAATCCAGTTAAACCAGCCCTAGTGTACAAAGTGTGCCAGAGCTGGCAGGTTATTAAAGGTAACGGCAGCCTCGGGCGGCGTCTGAGTTGTATTTTAAACTTAATGATACAAGAAGATCTAATAAACAACTTCAACTTGTTTGGGCACAACCTGTACGTTAATTATATAGCAAGCTGGTAGTTTATATCTATTATTTAATACACATGAGCTTTGTTTTAAATGCTGGTTTGATATTGGTAGAAAGTAAGTGGGGGAAACGAGGAGATTGTTATGGTTTGGCTTTTGATTGACAGTTGGCGAAATTTAAATCCCCCACCCCCCTATTTAGAAAGAGGAGGCACATGGCCTCGGACCCCTAGTGGCAAGCAGGGGAATTGTTTAAAGGTACCAAGCAGGCACGTGTCTGGGTTTTGTGTGTGTGTGTTGTATTTGTTTTGTTTTGGGGTTTGTTTTTTTCTTTTCTATTGTGATTGCAGGTAGCAGATGTTTTTGTGATTCATGCGTAGATGTAGGTGGAAGCTGTTGAAATCTTGATGGGAATCTTAATGTTGTGTAATGTACATTGCCTAAAATGTACAAATTTCAGTCCACACCTAATATTGTGACGCACTGCTTGAGCATGAGATTTTCTCAGCATCCGACTTTCTTTCTTTTGCAGTTTTCTCTTGTTTTTTTTAATGTGGCTCTAAGTCCATGGGCTGACCTAGGCAACTCTTCAAGTCAGCCTGTGTGGGTGCATTTCCACAGTGACTGCTTAGGAATACAATAATCTGGGTTTTGTTTTTTTTGGGTTTTTTTTAAGGTGGGGGGTTGCTCATGTTGAAATGACGGAAGCCATTGCGTAACCACCAAGTGTGCTGCCAAAAAACTCAGCAGCCAGGATTTGTGGTGTGTCAGCGCCAAAACAGACTAGCTGTGTGTCATCTGCCAGCAAGAAAAGGAACAAATGTTGGAGCTTCCCCCATTGATGACTAATAAGCAGATACACACCACACACGCACATACTCACAGCAAAGCTCCAAAAACGGCCACATTTCC